TGTCTTGATCATCCGAAATAGCTTTCGGAGAAAAATATTCTGACAATCGAACACCTTTCTGTTGAGCATCATAAACTAATACTATTCCAATCGTATTTTGACGTTTGTTCTTTATCCTACACGATGCCAAAATAATCGAAACTATAAAACAAGAAATTGATACATATCTGTCAGCTTGTTTTCTCGACAGCGATAGTAACAGCGTACTGACTGAAGAGTGGACATTTGACGCATTGAACTCGTGTAACCTTAAATAGTTTTATATGATGGATGTATTTTGATTCTTAAACATTGTGAAAGTGTTGTGTGGTTTGCTTGTATTGAACACAATGATCCAAATCTGTTTTTAGAGTCAAAAAAGTTTATTTCTGATCGATTTATCAATAACAATGCTAACGCTATTCTCGATTATATGTATTTTGAAATTGGTAAAACCAATTGTTCAGAATGATTCTTCGCCAAATCTGAAATAAAAAAAAAAGTGTAACTATGCTTTTTGTGGTATCTGAAGTATAAGTTGGTAGATTCAGAGTTAATTCCAATCAAGATATACCAATCATCTTATCGACACAAATATTTTCTATGCTAGATATATATCATACAAGACTTTTTCCTGCAATTTAATCTAAAGAATAATTAGAAAGAAAAGACGCAAACTTTTTACAAGATAATTTGAGAAAAATTATACTAACATTTGAACGTAGAATTTTTTTCCAAGCACGTTATGAACAATAGATCATCAAGCAGTGTTGATGTGTTCTTAAAGAAAAAAGCAAAATTTTCGTAAAATGGATTCTATCTGTTTCATTGATTAATTATTTTTCTTCAAATGATGCAATAAGTAGTTGGTCCCACACATATTTAATTTTAATTAGCTGTATTTTTTAATGCTATCTAATTATGTACAATTCATTCAGCGAAAAGCACTTATGAATGAATAGATGAGACAAGATATAGCATAATTAAAAAAATCATATTATCCATAGTTTTGTTAGTACTATTACAAATGTCAATGTATTATTTTATTTTTAGAAGTGAAATCGTCTTGTGATGAGAATCAAAAGTGTATTTAGTCTCAGTCAACAACAAAAAAAGATTCCGACGTCTTGACGTGGTGCACAAGCTAAAATACATAAACTCAAGTGTTGAATATGAGATATTTTATATAAATAGTTCGTTTTTAGTGAACTCTATGAACGAAAAATTCAACAAAAGCGATAAAATATAATGAACCGTTAGAGAAAAGTATTGAATTCTGTTGTTAATAGATTTTTGTCACTATATTAAGTAAGCTATAATTTCAACATACTTCTAGTTAATCGTATGCCTTTAACTACTATCGATGTCGCGTCTTTTGATTCACTTAAACTTATTATATCCGTAGTAGTCTCTAACTATTATTATTTTTTTCTTTTAGTCATTATTTTATTTTTAATAAACTGATCAATTTAAATAATAAACAACATGAGTAATAAAATATTCATTTAATGGTTAATAAAACAAAATTTGCAAGATGATCATAATAATTCACAATATAAAATATAATTAAAGTTATCATAAGCAATTGTATTATCTTTGATCTTTTTTTTTCTTTACAATAAACATGTCATCGATATGGAGACCTTTTCTTTGTATATATTGAACATGAAAAATCATTAGTAGATAGAGAAAAAAAAATTCTTTAAAATAAAATAAGGTGGTATTGAGTTTGCCATTGTTTGAAACGTATTTAAAGCAGAATATTGAAGAAATCATGAGTTATGACAACTAAAAACAGTCGAGTTCTATACATGTTGTTGCAGATATAGAAAAAGGACAACCAAGTACATTTTAATGATGGAAATATAATAACCTATATTATAACATAGAATCATGGAGTTCTGTATAGACTTACATGAAGAATTTTGAAAGGCTTTCGATAACGTTACTCGATTCTACCGGTATAAAATTATATATGTTGGTCGCTGAATCTTAACGCAATCCGTTGTTTTCCTTTGACACATATACTCGACTTTCGATTTCTAGAGAAATATAATAAATTAATCAACATCTAGTAAATACATTCATGAGTGAAACTGTCAATAAAATATGTTAAACCAATTATATTATGATACAAATTGATTCAAATACTATTTAAAACAATGGTACACATAGTCTAATTCTAATGTAGAACTACGAGGATATAAATATGAACATTATCACATGAGTTAACAAATAAAATGAACATCAAGAAAAAAAAACAGAGAAAATTATTTTTCAAAAACGAAACATTGAACCTATTTGATATTTCATAGATATGCTAATACAAAAAGAATTCATTGCCTAATTAGAATATAGTAAAAGTTCTGTTATCATTTAATAAAGATATCAAGATAAGGACATATTTTCATTTTCATTTCATCAAATGTTCACAATAGTCGTTTTGATTGTTTATAGAAATTTCAATCCTTTCTAATGATTAATAAAAAAATTTTTTTTGAACTCTTTTTAAAAAAAAATTTTAAGTACGTTGGAAACCTCGTGAGCACATCATATTTCATTTATTTAATCAATTTGACTTCGTTCAATAGAATCATTTCATCAAAGATTATGCAGTGCTAGGTCCAGCGAATATTTTAGAGACGACATTATATTGATGCTTTTTTTTCTGTCAAACAGTTAATAACATCGGATGAATATAAATTCAACGATAATTGTTAAGCAATTTTAAACATTTCGAATCTGTTATCTCTGTTTACTTCCATATCGCATTAAAAAAAAGGCTTTAGATAATTTTTAATATAATATCTATGGCATACAGTTTTGACATAATCCACATTATGTATCAAGACAGGATCATTTAATTTAAACAATATAAAAAAACAAAGTTTTGATTTAAATCTGTATCTGTGAACAATAGTTTTTACGGATTCATCTTCACTAATCCAGCTAGTATCATAGAACTAACTATCGATCTGTCTAATATAAATCCATATCTCATCACTCATAGTACTGGAATCTAACGGACATGATCTTAACTAAAATTGAAGACAAAATCTTGAAGTCGATCAGACAAATGAAATATGACATGTTCATGCGGCTTTCAAGATAGTGTAAGTTTTTTTTTTTTTTTGAAACAGAGTTCAAAAACACTTTTTATAAATCATTAAAAAAGATTAAACTTACTATAAATAATCATAATAACTATCGTAAACATTTGATGAAACAAAATTGAAAATATATTCTTATTTTTATATTTTTAGTTAATGATGACAGAATTTTTGATATACCCTAAGTATCAATGATAAAGTGTGCAAGAATATTTGTTAGTAATGATCGTTATATTAGTTTTCTTTTGTATAATGTGTAGAATAAATAAAGTGTTAAAATATTTTAATTTGGTTGTCGTGACATTGTTATTACTAAATCTAGGCTACAGGCTAAAGTACAAGCAAGACCAACACCATATATCAAACTTCGCCATGGTTGCAATGCCATAATATATGCCACAGCATAACAGATACGAGCAACTAGATAAATCAAACCATACACAATTGTTCTTGTACAGTCACAGCTTTTGTATCAGAGAAGATGGCAGTTGCTAATAGAAGTATTAAAAAATACATATCATTTTCTGTATCATTGCTGATGGTTTTATTGACACGTACGTCCTTAGTAAATTCTATATGAGTATTTTCTGTCGTCGAAGTATCCACCTGACCTCTCTTCAAAATTTTATCTTCAGGAACTCGAGAACCTGGTGAAAATGATCTACCACGTCCTGCTATGCCAGCTACAACCAACATTACAATACGTCGCATAATCATCATAAACATAAACCATGCAAAAACAGTGCCTGATTGAATCGTGTTGACACTAACCATAGTAAATGATAATTGTGATACAACTATGTAATGACAATTCACGCAATGAGACAGAGCAAGTGTGGTGTGTATATGTATGTTACGGGAGATATGCACTATTCAATATATATTTCTATTGTAGTTGTCCTTGTTTGTTATCTTATCGATTGCAAATATTGTATAATAATAATCTGAGTTGAAGTATTCATTGATGTGTCCCTTTTTTTTTCTTTTAGAAGAAATGTCAACATAAATCGTGATAACGATTTTCATAAAAGAAAAAGTAATGTACACATTGAACATTTATTTCTGCACATGGAAGAAAATTATTTGTAAATTACTTTTTTTTTCTATCGAGACGAGACAATGCCAATTTCATCTATAATTACAAGTAGAAACACAACATCTGTTAAAATAAAACTTGATATCATTTGCTTCATACTCATTATGTAATGAAAAAAATGATAATTGATATTTCTATCGAAACTAAGAGCTTTCTTCTCATTTTTCGAATTATATTGTTTGTTTTAATTTCCTATGATAATATTATTACTTATAAATTGAATTACGCTATGAAAAATAAATAAGATTAATGAAAAAAAAAAAAACATAAAATATTATTTTATAATTTCGATGTGGATGTGTGAATCTAGATAGAGATGGCAGTTTTTATTACGGTCATACCCATACTACCTACACTTGAAAATATATATAAGTTTCATAAACAGAATTAGAATTAAAACAGAACAACAAATTAGAAAATAAACAGTATCTTTAGACAAAACGAAAAAATTAAACTCAATTCACTTGAGACAAGTTTTTTTGCAGAAACATTCTTATATATAGTATCATAATTAATTCATAAGAACTTATCTTTTACTAAGCTGAATAATTCAACGAAAAAGTATATTTGTGAGTCATAAACTTCTTATAACTATAATTGATACTAAACATTTCTGATCCACCATAGCTGACGAAAATTCATTTCTTCTATTAATTTTGAGCACATACAAAAAGAAAATGTAATATGTACATTTGTTACAATTTAGAAGAATGTTACCATATGTTATATGCAATAATAATATCTTTATTTCTTGTTTAATTAAGAAAAAGAAAAAAAAATGCAAAAAAAAAAGATATTTTTTAAAATGAGTACCATCAATAATTCTTCATTTCAATCATTTCTACTTTCGAGTCTGAATTTTGATGTTTTTCCGAAGTGTCCGATGAAAATAAGTTAGTTATATTCGGTTCCACACTTGAACATATGATGACTTGGCTATAATCAGGAGCTTTTTCGAGCTGAAAATCAGGTTTATTTTGTTCACAAATCATTATTTGTACCCTAGATAGATTATTTCTATTTCGTACAATTTCAGGATGATTAACAGGCAAAGTTTTCTCATTGATATTCAAAGCTTGTTCATAAGCGTTCAAAGCTAAATCCAACTGATTTTGACGAAGATAAAAATTACCAAGATTATTAAGTAAAATTGCTCGATTTGGATGGTTTGGTGGTAAACTACTTTCATAAATATATTGTGCTCGTTGAAAACAAGAAAGAGCTTTCTTATATTCTTCTAGTCCACAATAAATATTAGCAAGATTAATAAGTGTTCCAGCAATATCTGGATGACATTCATGAATAGTTTTTGTGTATAATTTTAACGTACTTTCAAAAGAATCAATTGCTTGTTGAACATTATTCTGTTCCATATAAACAATACCCATGGCATTCATCGCTTTAGCTGCACTTGCCCAACGAGATGGTCGAGCTTTTGAATGTGTGTCAAAAGCTTGTTGAAGAAATTCAAGTGCACGTTCATATTCACCTTTTAATCGATAAATTCGACCCATATGATAATATATACATGAAATTTCTTCATCATTTGGAATTGATGAATTTAAAATTGTAGTAAAATATTTTTCGGCTCTATCATAATCACCCATTTCAATAATTAAATGACCAAGCGTTAATACAATATTAGATTCAGCCATTTTAGATGTTTGATATTCAAGATATTCGGAAGTAACTTCAAAAACTTTATCTGTTGCATGAACATTCATTAACCATAAATTTTCTTTAGTATTAAATGTACACGATTCAATTTTGAAGACAGCTCCTACAAGACAATAAAAAACAAAAAAAATGGATCATACTATGAAAAATTATTTTCATTGAAAAATATTTTTGATAAAATTTGACAAAATGAAATTTAAATATACCTAAATCAAAAATTATTTCGTTCTCATCTGGTAATTTATTATATTGTGAAATATCAGCAAAAATGATTGATTGAACATGATCTAAATCTACAGTATATTGAAATAAAACTTTTTCTTCATCAGATTGTATATGTTGTTTGATAGCAAAATCATAGGCTAAATGACGTTGTCGTGTTGTTGACAAATATCCATGAGTGAAAATTGAATTTCCAATATTACGTTGATATTTTTTTATTTCTTCTTTTGTTATTTTAGAACTACTGTACAATTGAATAATAGATTGAGAATTTTGTTTTTTAAATTTTCTAAATTCTTTTTCTATTTGTTTTGATAAATCTTTAATGTAAAAATGAAAATAACATAAAGAATTAATATTTTCCGTGTGTAGAGCTTTATTAATTAATCGATAAATAAATGAACGATTTACATACCATTGAAGTGCTTCATGTGTTTTATAATTATGTTCAAAATCAAGTATTTCTTCTAAAACTTTTCTATTACCTGCATAATAATTACGATATTTTGAAACCATTAAATTTTTAGATTCGGATTTTTTCGGTAATTTTTTTAAAGCAGTTTTAAAAATTTCAAAAAACAGAAAAGTACCAACTTCATGATGTATATCAATTTTTTCCGTTTTTGTTTGATTGTAAATAGAAAAGACAGTCATTTGTTTACTGATTTGTTGACGAATATTTTTTATTTCATCAAAAAGTTGTTGTTCATTAGAACAAATAGCTGTAATACATGATGGAAGTTTATCAGGTGATACAGATGTATAAAGAAAAAGACCATCAACTTGTTTTAATGCTTCGATAACATTAAGAAGATTATCAGAAAGATAATCAACAATTAACAAGATTTTTTCTTCAACAACTGATTCAATATATGCCAAAGCTTTATCTTCAGTGTGAAAGACCTGGAAAATAAAAAAAGAAAAAGATTAAAATTCTTCATTTACTTTCATATTAAATACTATTTAATTATTATTAACAAAATAGAATGATATAGAAACTAAATTAGTATAATCAATTAAGATATTTAATAGGATTATTTTTCTGAATTTTTTCTTTGAATCTATGAAAAGAAAAATCTAGTAGAAAATTGATGATATCTGATATCTATAAAATTTCATATAAATATTAATGTCGTACTTGCATATAATCATTTATTGATCGAAGAGACGTAATAAATGATTGTGTTTTTTTATTTTGTAAGTCATTATTTAACAAAACAATAGTAACATCTTCTTCATTTTTGTCTTTTCTTTCCTGATCATCAGTAATTATTTCATCATTTTCTACATCCAAGACGGTAGTTTGTGTTTGAAATGGATATCCCGTTCGAAACGATTGTATAGCAATCTTTACCTTTGAAAACATATTTTTTTTTTACATTTGATGAAAGCTAAAAAATACGTATAATTTATATCGATCACATATAAAGTTAAGACATGCTTCAATGCATTAATATTATACACCTGTATAAATCATCATTTTTATCACAACAAACCTAAAAATGTTAGCTTTTTTTTCTCGTTCGTAAGAAAAAAAATCACCATATCGATGAAAAGATATTTAACATATTGATCAGGTCGACTGTCTGACTCATTGGATTTTTCTCAAGGCTAAAATGATATCTTGTTTGTTTATTAGTTTAAACGATATTTTTTAAGTTGACATGAATTGTCATTTTATTTCTTAGATAAGAATCTATAAGTTTATGTATATATATCTTAAGTGTTAAAAATAATAATTATATATTTATATTTATATGATTTTTGTTTTTTGTTTAACAAAAGCAACAATATTATACTTGTTATCATAATGAAGTTTGATAATTTCATGTAAAAATTACATTTATCTTCAAAAATTTTCACAAGAGAAAATATCATATATGTATAATACTAGAAAATATCTTTGATTTATTTATTATATTTTATTATGATCCAAAAAAAAGTATTCTAGATATCAATGTCTATAACATATTCTAAAGATATAGAATAAATCAACTGTCAATATAATTCAATTTGATTGACGTGACATCGTAATAATGAGATCTAAATTACAAGCTAAAGTACACAACAGACCAAGATAAAATACCAAAGTTCTCCATGGTCGTAATGCTATAATATATGCTATAGCATAAAATATACGAAAAAATAAATAAATAACACCATAAATAATTGTTTTTGTACATTTGTCATTTATACTATCTGAGAAAATAACTGTTGCGAATAGAAGAATTATAAAATGTACATCATTTTCTAAATTATTACCAATAATTTTGTTAACACGCACATGTTTAGTAACCTCGATATGGATAGGTCTTGTTATTGATGATTCTATTCGAACTTTTCTCAGTATTTTGTCTTCACGAACTCGAAAACTTGGTGGAAAAGATCTGTTGTATTCCACAATGCTAACAATAATCAGCAATACAATACGTCGAATAATCATCAATAGCATAAACCATGCAAATACAGCGCCTGATTGAATAGTATTAATGTTAACCATAATAATGAATAAAAATACAAAATAGAAGTTAAATTAATTATTAAAAAATTTTATTAGAAAGCAATATTGGATAATATAAATTTGTAGTGATAGTCGTCGACAGTAGTGATATACAATTTCACTAGTGTTATTTCTAACAAAAAAAAATGGTCTTTTTCTGTTTTTCTTTTCTTCCAATGTATAACTTCAATATTCATTTCGTTGACAATGGTTTTCATTAAATGAAGATAATCTGACATACTTAAAATTTGGTTCCGATCATACAGGAAATTATTTTTAAACATTCATTATTTTCATTAAGCTAATAAAATTGTTACATACTAAATGATAATCACTAAAATTTTATATGAAAAACAAGAATGATTATTATTGTTTTGACAATTATTATGGTCTCAAAAGCTAAATATTGTTTTCTATATAGGATAAAATATTCATTGGAAGAAGTTTTATGTAGACTCAAAAAAAAAAGCAGATGACTTCATGGAAATGAAAAATGTATTAGCTCAATATTTCTTCTTATTTTATTTCTCAGTAAAACGAATGATATCAAAATTCTTTTTCATTAGGATTTGAGGAATGAAAGCATGATCAAAGTTGAATGTAAAATACGTAGTAGATCGAAGTATTTTTCATGATAAAGAATGAATAAAAAAAAGAAGTGATACAACACTTATTAGCAAATTTTCTCATACAACTAGAATTGATCATGATTTTTTTTTTGTAAAATTTCTAAGTAATAAACACTGAAAAAAAGAAAATAATAAAAACTCTTTTCTATTTTAATAAAACTTTTTAATTAAATTATTTTTTTCAAAAATCTACTATGATAATGTCATATTTAATATTCTTCGATGACACTTAAATCAGAAGTTGTTCAAATGAAGAATATAGACTATCAATAATATTAAAACCTAATCAAGTGTACAGAATTGTGAAGAAATTCATTCATTAGTTAATCCTTAGTTATTCGTAACTGTTTGATTATGATATAATGCAAGAATAACAATTACATATGATCCATACAATAGTATACATCTAATTTCTGATTGATATTGATTAACCTAATAGAAGATTTACTTCGAAATACAATAAAAGTTATGTAGCTAAAATGAAAAATATAGAGAAATTATTAATTATATCATATTAAAAGGCTTAATTCAACAATTTGATAAAGTATATATTTGATGAATGAAAGACTATACTTTATTTCTATTTACTTCTTCGCTAAACAAAAGAAATATTTTATCAATTTAAAGAATGTTGTTAAAAATTTCAGAATTTGTTGTAATCAAAGTATTAAGGAATATGTTCACATTTTTTTTTTTTGTATAAATTTTTTGTGTCCAAGAAACTTTTGTAAATACATATTTATTGAAGAATATGTCTTCTCAAGAACTATTTTTATAATGTGATTATTTTTATTTTGTGACGCAAAATACACAGTACACATCTATCAAACGACAAATAAGCAATAACATGTAAACAAACTAACAAAACAACGACAAGAAGACACCGACTCATTTCCTTTTTATTCAAGTGAGCCATGTAAAGACAAAGACAACAGAATAAAACATAATTTTCAATAGTACCCATTAAGAAGAAAGAAAATTATGTGAATACTAGATGTTTAAAAGTAGATATAATTTTCTTTTATCTTGGCTACATCTCCACACAAATAAATGATAAAACCTTGATCTTTTGTTCCATAGATGCGCTAGAAAATTCTACTATCTTCACTTTGAAACAATATGACTGAACATCTTTATGCATCTTATAATATAATTCTCTGAACCATATTAACTTCTCAAACTTGTTTTTACTATGATTTTCCATAGTAAAGAAAAACGAGCATCTGAAAGACTGAGTTTTCAATATGAAATATACCTGTGAAATTCCTCATAAGTCTTTGTTTATAATCTACTCTCATTGAATAGGTATAGCTTCTCTGAGTGGCTTCTACGATTATAAAGTTTTTCATAGTATTTGAATTCGAATTCCAGTTGAATCATTTAGTAATCAAGATTATTTGATTTCTACATAGAAAAATAAATTAGAATCTAAAGAATACGAAATAAAAATAAAATTGTTTTGATCATAGAGAACACTTCTTGGATACTTTTACTTGAAAATAAATAATCAAAAAAAAAAAAAAGAAAATGTCGTTATTTTCAATAAATAATTTCGTAGAAAACTTTGTCTGTTCAAAATAATAAGTATTCAATAATTGTCCACTTATATATATAATTAACAACGGCTTTCAAGATCTATCTAGCAGTAAATTTTAGTTTCAAAACTGAATGATATTTCATATGAAATAAATAAATGAGTACAAATGGTGTGTAAGAAGTAAATACTATTCATACAATTGTATGATTTGATCTGTCAAAACATTCAGTCATACTGTTTTAAATTAGAGCTGATTAACATTAGACGAATATTCGATAATTTATATTTTAACAAAAAAAATCAAGACTTTGAAGAATATATCTGCCTTTCGGCTACTTTGCAATATGGGTTGCTTTTCCTTGGTAGATTCAATGGCTCAATATCTTCCCTACAACTAATGCCAACTGTAGCTTTGAATAGAAGATAGGTTTGAGTAAAGTTCTTGTGCTCAATTACTTCAGTGCTCCATACACTCTTATTAATCACATCCGAGTCACAAGATCAGATTTATGTTACGAAGTAATCAACATGCTATGAAATGATTGATTCGAAACAAATAACCGATAATAACTCGTCTATAGTCATTCTATGGCTGATGGTACACAGTATTGAATATCTGATCTCATAGAAAAAATAAAAAGCAGACAAATATTGTGAGACATCTGATATTTACAAATACGTGATCATTTGTAATTATAGTTGACTGAAAAGAAAGAGACATGCAAATTATGAGCAGAATATCTATTCAAAGTAGTGTTTTGTAGCAATTCATGAAAATTTAATGGTGGAATAAAGATATCGAATATGAATAAAATAATGGTTAATATTATGTCGAATTTTCGAAAAATAATAAATTACAATTTAGCTTCAATATCTTCTAATAGAATACATATTTTAAAAATTTCAATTAAATGAATCATGCTATGATAATGTCAACAAACAAATTTAACTGTCAGCTAACAAACTACGCAAAAGTCTTTGGAAAAATGTCAAATTCTTTCAGGTCACATTGCAAACTTCTAAACTAATCAAATTTTTTTATTAAAAAGAGTAATGCCTAAACTACAAATCTTGTACGAGAAAGTGTTTTTTCAGAAAGTGTGTGTAAGAGAGAGAGGAAAAGCTAAAAAACAAACACTTCTAAAATAGTTCTTTTAACATTTTTTTTCAACTTGAAAAGCTTCTATTTCTCAATTATTTTGAGCTACACGGACCAAACTCTAATAAAAAACTTTATCAAGATGTAATGCATCAAAAGATCAATTGATGCTAGGTTGTATGAAATTTTTTGCAAAATAGAGTTTTGGATGAACATCAATCACAATCTACCGCAACCATTCATGAACACAATTTTTTGTGCGTGCATTGTTCGAAATTATGCCAGATAATAAAAAATTGACAGAAAAAACAATTCAAAACTAAATTATACAGTCTCTTGAAGAAATACCTGTATTTTGTTATATAAACTAAGAGTAAATTTAACTTTCAATAGATCATTAGAAAGAGCACTCGTTACGCTATGAAAATTATAATTAAATATGATTTTTTTTTTATTTCACTTTTGATATAAGAAAAATTTAACAGAAAATAGAAAAATGATGTAGCACGATGATGAAGTTGCAAGAACTTTTTTAAAGATCTTTTCTTTTTGACTTTTCCTTCTTTTTAGATTTACTTTGAAAAAACACGTCTAGTACAAAATTTGTAATTTAGATGTTACTATTTCTAACCAAAAGAATTTCATTGGTTTAGAAGTTAACAATATGGGTCTAACAGAGTTTGACATTTTTCCAAAGACTTTTCCGACGTCTATTACTTGCAGAACAAATAACTTTCTAAGATTTGTTTTCTTTTTCATAAGTCATATAAAATAAAATATATGTAGGCTCATTCAGAAAACGTTATATCATTAAGACTTGACTAACTTAAACTGTACTCTCAAAGCGAAAACTTTATCCTTATAATGAGTTTCATGTTGAAAAATTACTTTCTTGTTAGAATATGTTTCTTTGTTCTATAACTGATATTCGAGCAAATGATTTTTATTATTAGAGATGTGTATCCAAAAGCATTCGAATGAGAGACCTATTTATGCGTCTTCTATGCCTTAGAAAACTTGTTTTTCGTGACTTGAAAGAGACATAAATCTAATTATGCATTAAAAAAATGGTTATTTCTTTTCAATAAAAATGTTCAAGTTTACTGTTCCATCTTTATGGCTAACTATATAAAAATGTATCACGAATGTCTAGTGGTTAATTCAACTATAAAAAAGGAAATAAATAAAATAGATATATAATGATGTTGACGTATAGGACGAAGTTAAGCAAACTTACATCAATAGACATCATTATAATAATTTGTCTTACAATATTCATTTAAAATTTTTCCACTTCGTCAACTTTTTCTTGCAGAACACTATATATATATTTAAAAGAATATTTCTGCCTAGGCTATTGTCAATATAATCATAAAACGTAGCTAAAGTTGCAACGCATAACATATAAAAAACGAAGGAAATGATAGTGAACCATCAGATTTAATTCATTACTATAACAAATACATTTTCATTTGTATTGTGTGTAACTATTATAACGATGAACACCTCTGACTACGAAACATTCGATTACAAAACATCTTTACTTCATCGAATCAAGTTTTCATTAATAATCTTTCTACAAATTCCAGCATTGATTCTTTCTTTTCTACTATTTGCCTTTCTTAAGAAGAATTGTAAAGCTGCAAAGGCACCACAAAATTATGCGCTGCTGATTCTACTTTCAATCAATTTTATTCAATTATCGTTCACGTTACCACTCAATCTTAATTACTAT